CAACCTACTGGTTGCGCTCAGGGGCCCCACACCTCTGGGGTCCCTATGAGGCCTCCTCCAACCCCTACAGCCTCACCCAAGCCTCCGGTGTAAGTGACGCCCTTGCTGGCATCTGCTGCGCCCGTCCTGGGCTCCTCACCCAATATGGCGCTCCCCCTCTTCAGGGCTCGCCGCATACAACCCGGGGTCTGTTCCCCGCCCGCAACCTACTGGTTGCGCTCAGGGGCCCCACACCTCTGGGGTCCCTATGAGGCCTCCTCCAACCCCTACAGCCTCACCCAAGCCTCCGGTGTAATATGCAAGCCTGAACATAAACTAGAGCCTCCTGGCTAAACCATAGTGCCTCATCCTCTCAGGGCTATAGTGAGCTGTACTTGCAAGTCAGGCCTCTTGCCACATCTCGGCCGAGGGAGCTCCTGCCTCTCCAGCTGCTGGCAGGGAACTGCTAGCCTGGCCTCAGCCCTTGGCTTTATAAAGGCCGGGCCCCACCTCCTACAGGCAGCTGGCTCCCCTTAGCTGCCCCGGCAACCCGCAGCTGGGCTCGTTACCCTGGCAACCCTCAGCTGGGCTCGTTATGATCTGCCAGGGCTCTGTCTCTCTACCTGGCAGTTTCTCTCCTCTAGGAGCAGAGCACCGAGGTGCTCTGCGACAGACACCCTCAAGGCAAACATTAAGAAGTGCAGCATTGACATCACAATTTGGGAAGTTTCTATTGTTGCATTTTTGAGAGCATACCAGAGAAAACACCAAATCCACATATCATTGGACTTACCACACACCTTTCCAAGAACTCCCTAGTGTGTGTATTATGACTTTCAGATGATCCAGTCCACAGGTCTCCAGTGAGATTTTTATATTCATCAACATCTGAAGTTTTCTTCTGCTGTTGCTTTCATTCATATTCTGAAATGGCTCCCATGTGGCCCTGAAGCTTTTACATCCTCCAGTCGTTAATTCTAATTGATTAGTCCTCTTCTCTAACACACTCCTGATCACTTCCAGTGCACCTTTCTCATCCCTGGTCCAGCTGCTGTTAATAGCATCTCTTCTCCTTTAGAAATCACAGATGGTGGTCAGAAGGAGCTGTATTTTCATTTCCTCAATGACTACAGAGCTCCCCTGTCAATAACTGAATCTCACTATCTCTTAGTAGTGTTGCTGTTATCTCTGTCTCCACTGACCTCTCACTCCTTAGGAACTTGATACATTTCTTGTATTTACAGTCACCTTTCCTGCAATCACTCTTTTCATATGCTGCCTTTGTGTTCTATGTTCACTTTGGCTACAGTTTCTTCATTTCAGCCTGGAAAGTTTCCAGCCCTCCTCTGTATCTGAAATTCCATCCCTCATGTATGCCTCTGCCTTATTTTTCTACTTCCTTGTTCACCTCTATAACCCTCAAGTATATATTCATTTTTTTTCCTTCATATTTTCTATTTTATGTCCTCTGTCCACTGATTTATCCTAGTTAGTTGTGGCCAGAACAAAAAAAAAAAAATTATTTTCATAGCTCAAATTCATCTCTCTCTTTTATTTTCTTTTTTCACCTTGTTGATGTCTGTTTTCTAGCAATTACAAACCTAATCAGATTTAAAAAAACACTGAAATATAGAAGACTGGAAATCCTGAGGTTCCCTGATACATGCAGGGATCTGATTAATGGGGAGAGCCTCACCTAATTCTGATAGGGAATCTTTCAGCAGTGGCAGTAATCATCTTTGGAGTAAAGGTTTGGTAACCTTCCTCACACTCTTAGACTTATTTTTAAGGGCAGCTTTATAATCCCTTCCTACTCTCTCCTCAGAGCATCTCAGCTGGTACCTAGATACCATGTTGTTAGGTAACTAGGATTATATATACTAGTCCAGGTAATTACAGCTCTGCTCATAAAACTCTCTCTTCAAACTCCCAGTGAATAAGATATTATCTACTTTGTGTTCTGCACTCTGAATTGGTTTATCAATGAGTATACAATGGCATAGTCATATTGACATCAGTGAAGCAATACTCATTTACACAAGATGAGAATTTAGCCTTGTATATCCAGGTTGAATGGCAGTTTAAATTCCAGAAGAGGCTATATTTCATTGATAGGTTAAGTGGTCTTTGTCTGTTTTTCATCGTTTGTACATTAGGCTCTAGACCTAAAAAGCATTTACACATGGAAATAATTGTATTAGTCATTGTAGCTTCTACTAATAATTTGATGTGAATAGATCTGCTTGCATCAGCAATATTACTCACATGGGTAAATGTTAGCAGAGTCAGGGTATTAGCTGGTATTGCTAGTCAAGCACTGTAAACTTTTTAGATTGGAAATGTTCCTCATCATAACAACAACGATTTAGTTACTAATGCTAACAAGCATCAATTCAGCATTGAATGCCAGTCATCATTACCAACACTTAAAATAATTATTTATAATACCAGCAAACTTCCTTGTTTTCTGCTTCTTTTCCTTTCAGTGCTGTTTTGGGTAGAAGAAGAAATGGTTCTGGTAGAGAAGAAAAAAAGGTTAGGGTATAAATATGCATAGTCATATGGTCCCATTCCCACAGGTCCTTCTTATTCTGACAAAACACCAGATAGTCTGAGATTTTCCAAAGCATCCAAATCCTTTGGAAAAGCCTGACAATATACAAATCCTATTGCTGCACAGTGGTAGTTGGGCACTTAATTCACTCAGGTTTTGGAGGGGTGAGAGTGGAAGGATTAAATTAATTCATTTGCAGAGAACTAGACTCTCTAACCCTTTAGTGTGCTGAGTGGTACCTTGCTCCACAAATAGTCCTGCTCTCCTTAATGGGGAAAACTTGGGGAACAGAATTCCATCCTTAAAACTTAGATATAGGTTTTAAATGTGCACTGTAAATGTGATGAAGCCAGACAGAAGCATGGTCTAGAATACCAAATTATTACTGTGTAGTGGTTGGCATGAGTAGTACTTTCCTACCTACACAATCATTACAAGGTGCAGGTGGAGTAACAAATCTAAAGAAATACTGATGCATTTATAGTGGAACGTAGTACTGCTGCTGTGTAAGTCAAGGGTGATAGAACCGAGCTACAAGGCAGTTGCGAAGTTTGTGGGCAGTCCCAGTGTCAGTGAAGAGGTAAACATCCACATACCCAAAAGGTGCTGGAATGGAAAGAATCTCTTATCGCTATAAGCTTCTGGCTTGGCTACATGTCAGCCTAGTGCTGGCCTCCTGCTGGGTAAAACGCTGTGGAAATTAGGATCTTAATTTCTTCTGCCACTCTGCATATGTTCCCTCTCATCTGGTTAACTTTTAATAAGTACATCTCCTTTTCTTGTCTGTTCCTTCCCTCTTTTACATTGAGAAAGAAAGAAGTCCTGTGTCACCCCCAAAGGAGCTTCCTCTTTGTTAACAGGACCTTACATTGTCTCCCTGAATAATGCAAAATTTGTTTTGTTGTGCCCTGCAGGGCTCCCGTGTCCCCAGAATCCTAGGGCAATGGTGGTGCCGAGCTGGCACACTGTAGCAGAAATGTCATTTTTTAATTATGTGCTTCTGAGGGGAATCTATTATCTACTGCTGAGATGCTGAAATCAGACAATTTATCTCCAAGGCAGCTCTGTCTACAATCTAGAATATATATCTCTTGTCACTGCAGGAAATAGAACAAAAGGATGTTTTTATTTCTGGTGCCTTGTATAAATGTATTCTTTTAAGCTTTACCAATGAATTAGGGGTGGGGGTGAGGATGAGAGATGGGGAGGGGAAACAAAGTTCTAATGCTTCTCCTGGTTCCTTCTTTCTCTTCCTCTTCCTGAAAGGTTGTCCAAGGTCAGAAGGGATCAAACTGCCCCTTATTCATGTGAAGTTTCCATACCAACAACACCCACTGTACTATACTAGTTTAGGGAATTATTCATTGTGGGGTGGACCCAACCCCCCCCCCACCCCACACACACACACACACACACACACACACACACACACAAGTGCTGAGAGCATTGTACAAGTGAACAGTATCAACAAATTGGTTAGGCAGCCTGTTTAACTTAATTAACATAAATACTAACCGCTGCTTGACATTTCAGGCTAGATGTCTGCAGTAATTTGAAAGAGCCTCTATTTTTCACACACTAGGTATTTTCATTTAAATGTAAACTAATATACCTACCAGCTTATTCACAATGATTCTGAATTATTGCTGTTTTCCCCCTAAGGTATCAAAGCAAATGAAAGAGTTTAGTCCATGTTCTTTTTCTATCTGCAAAATTCATTACATGCGCCACTCCATGTAGCAGTATCACAGCTCAGAGCAATTCCTATCTATTAACCAACAGGTACATTCCAAGTGCTTTTAAAACAATCCTGCACAGCTTTATTTTAAATTAATATGTGTTTTCTATATTGTATAGAAGTTTATAAAAGAAAGGGATGGAAGGGGAAATGTTGGAACATTCCCACATGAAATTGTAATAGTTGTACTGCCCTCTAGTGCATACATGAAGAAATTACACTACAAATGCAGGGGTTTGTTTTTTGAAATTCCACAATTCCCCTCTGTAAATTATTAAAAATAAACCTTTAATGTCATTTGATGGTTTACTGAGTTTAATCTTAATGGAAACATTACAGACAGTTTATTTGCAACACAATACATACACATTCTTGCTCTTTTCTTTAAAAAATACCCTCCTAGCAAATGTACCATCAAGAAGCACGGATTTACTGTGTGTTGCTGGTATACATGGAGGGCATGTCCATGTAAAACAGAATAAAACAGATATTAAAAAAATTTCCTCACCTTACAACCCAACCAAAGCATATTATGTATTATATTAAGTCAGTGAGTAACCACTTTATTTGAGAGCAAGGAAGAGTCTTCAGTGCTGAATCATTTGTCCTAGTCATATGCAACCTTTTACTTGTATGAATATATTATTTACTTCCATGAGTTGTACTTCTATGAGTACGTTATGGAGGCTCATTTGTATCTGCCCAATCTCTACCAACTCTGCTTACACTATTTATAATGAAACTGAGAAGCCCTTCACTATAATCATGCTTCAAGATAATAGGTCGACTGAGTTAGGGCTCCTCCTGGCCCATTAAGTTAACCCCCCAGCATTCTCAGACAACCATGTAGCCACAGTCCTAAAAATCATTTATGACTCAGGAGGTCTGAATTTAATTTATGGAAATATGCTACAGATTTCCTCAAGCAAAAGAATTACTAAGGTGATACTTACTTCTTAGTAAACTTTTCCTTCATTCTTACTAAAAAAAGAGATAATACTTGCCATCTCCTGCTTTCTGCCTGTCTTGTCTAATTAGCTGAGCTCTTTGGGGGCAGAGACTGCACCTTACTAAATTTTTGTACAGATCCTAATGCAATGAGGTCCTGATTTCAGTCATATTCTCTGAGCACTCTAATAATAATAATATTAATAATAATAATAATAATAATAATACGTGTGTAAGATGTTGATTCAAACCCATTTCATTCTTGTGGCAACATAAAATTCCTCCTGTCTCATCTGTGTTTTGGAAACTGAATTGAGAGTCTGAGTTTAGTTCCTAATGAAGAGAAATACTCTTCACTATTAGGATTCAGGGTAATCCCAGCAAAAATGCAAAACAGGCAACTGGCCTTAAAGCTGTCCTTCCTCTTCGCTCCTTGGTGTGATGTGACTCTGAAATTGTTGCTGCCCTAGCAATCACCTTCATCCTACAAATCCTTGTACAGTGTGAAAAGGTATCACAAGGTTGACAGGAATCCAGCACTGGGGCATGCAGAGTCTATTCTTTACAAGGACAAATGACTCCCCATTGAAGACTTTCCTCTGCTCTTAGATAATGAGGAATGCAGGCATTCACCAACTAATACATGATGTACTTACATGGCTTGTCAGGACTGGTGGGTGTTTTGTTTTGTTTTGTGTTGTTTTAAATGCACATGCCTTGCATTTCTACCAGGAAACTCGTGCTTGTATGCAAATGTTCAGAATGCTGAGTGTATGCCAGATCTGGGGGCTGACCATGCTGTGCTCCTCAAATGGGAGCTGTATGTGCTTAGTAAAATTGGTGGGAGGTATGACCAAACAAGAACTGGCACCTCAAACACACCCATTGTCACGTAAGAGATATTTAGCAGCACACTCCTTTGATTACCTTTAAATTGTGTAACTCACAGCAATGCTGCAGTGCTGTCATCAGTACTGTGTGTCTCACCCTACGCCACATTTTTTTCCCATTCTTTTGAAAAAGACTAGCACCCTGTACTAGCACAAGGAAAGATCCAACCTAGAACTGGTTAGTGGATAATTAGAGAGCATCAATCTTTAGGACTAGTAGTCCATTGGCATCTTTCAGCTCCATTAAATTGTTTTTTTAAGGGGGGGGGGGGGAGAAAAGTAAATATGGTTAGGAAACTAACCAAACAATGCCTCAGCCTAGTGAGAATCTTCATAAAGGACAAATAAAATGCCTGTAACCAGCAGCATCCTATTCACAGGCAAATATTAATGCACTAACCAGGGACTCTATAGGGTGGAATTTATTTGATATTCACCAACTCTGAATTCTTGGGCTATATACTGACAAGGTTGGGAGGTGCTTAGAAAAGACCGTCTCCCTTGCAAACCCAGTACATGCCATGTAGGACCTCAATCAACAGCCACAATGTGTGTGGAATATTAAGGCCACCCAATCTACAACAACTACAACAACACAAAACCCCTTAAAAACCTTATATCATTCCTTCTAATCCTTTCATAACCTCTTTACCAGTCCATGTAATTCCAGCGCTCAGCATGTTGCCAGACCTACTCTCCCGTGTGGTCATTCTGCTTTTTTCCCCTTTTCCTAAGCAGCCTGTATTGAGCAGGACCTTACACTGACCCTCCATACCAGGATGAATTTCACCCTAAATGGCTTTAGTGGGTAGTATTCCTTAGGGATTGTGCATGTGTGAAAGAAAACGGAAGGTTTAGATCATTAAATCATATGGGCAGCTGGAGAAAACAGAACAGAACTGATATGCTTTTGCCCACGGCTGAGCACTGTCTCTCTCCTTTGCTCAATGCTGCCCTGCTGCATATTTGCAGTCATTCAGTAGTAAATGGAACAGCAGAGGGAAAGGAAATCTAAACTGAAGGTTTTACTGCAGTGATTGATTCTAGCTTTGCTAACCAAAATCAAAAGGACTTGGTAAAGGATTGACCTTAGGCGAGGATTTCCTTTTTATCCTGCTG